TTTTGATGTTTTTTCGGTGATTTTGCCGCTGACCAGTACGTCATGCAGGACAGCGTCGAATGCTTTGCACAAGTCCAGGTAGATGATATCAGTTGATCTCCCCTTAATGTAAGATGCCTGAAATATTCCTCCTTTATTATATATTGGCACAAAGCCATAATCAAGATAGGGAAGCAACAATACTTGAGACAATACTGACCTACTCAAATAGTTTGAGCTACTTTGTTTTAAAACTCTTAGTGCTTATTTTTTTTATTTGTAAAACTAAAATTCAGTTTTATCATTAAAAAAAAGAGATTGTTCCTTTACTTTTTGTCCAGCAGCTACTGTTCTTTGTATGTGATGCAAGAAGAAATCTTCAGAAAAATTATCTCACTGATATCTCAGTGGTGGTATCAAATCTTGGTTTTTTGATGACAGGCTTCTTAAGAAATAATACATCAAGTCTTTTGAATGTCCTTTGCCCTCCAGAATAAAAGATCTCTGAAATCAGACTCATAAAAGAGTCTTTATAAACAAGGATGTTAGATTTCAGGTAGGATATATATACGCTAGAGGAAAGGACATGGGTCTAAATAACTGATTTCTTGGGGTTTTTAGAGTGCGTTTGGATAATCATGCATTAGCAACACAAATATTTTATTCTCTGTAGAAGGTTAATGAATGAAAATAAGTTTATCATGCTACTTTTGCCATTGTCTAGAAGAGATGACAGCATGGACAGAAGAAGAATGCAGAGGCTTTGAACATGCGCTTCTGATTTATGGAAAAGACTTTCATCTCATACAGAAAAACAAGGTTAGTATTTTACAGTTAATGGAATAATTGGTAGGTGATACGATGCTGAAAACTTGTAAAAGCAAAAGAGTGAAATAAGAACCAACATATTAAAACCAGCCTGGAATTTTTGTGCTAATTTTACCTTTGATGTCATTGGAAAAGCTAGGCATTGCAAGATGAGTCAATATATTATTTCTGAAATCAACTTGTGTTAATATTAATTCCATGTATTTCCATACCATGGCTTTGGGAGAGGAAAATGCATCTTTAGTTATTTTCGTCACCAGAAGGTGTAATTCTGCAGAAACAGGCTAAGCTCTTTGTGCTTTCAGAAAGTGTAGTCATCCACCAGTACTCTGATTTCTGGCCAATGAAGGAGTTCTAATTTTGATCTGGATTGCTTCTGATTGACTCCTCTGTGCCTGGAGTACAGAAATTGAATTTTTTTTTTTTTTTAATCAAATATGCATATCACTTGGTACAGTTGACAGTATGGCTGTTTCCAAACTTTCTGTACATCTCCTGTATGTTTTGATGCCACTTTGAGGTTTTGTGCTGGTTTTGGCTGGGATAGAGTTAATATTCTTCCTAGTAGCTTGTATGGGGCTATGTTTTGTATTTGTGCTGAAAATAGTGTTGATAACACTGGGATATTTCAGTTAATGCTGAGCAGTGCTTACACAGAGTCAAAGCCTTTTCTGCTCCTTAATCTGCCCTGCCAGTGAGTAGGTTGGGGGTTCACAAGAAGTTGGGAGAGGGTCACAGCTGGGACAGCTGACCCCAACTGACCAAAGGGATAATCCATACCATATGATGTTGTGCTCAGCAATAAAACTGGGGGGTGAAGGTTGGCAGGGGTTGCTGTTGATTTGGGACTGGCTGGGCATTGTTCAGTTGGTAGTGAGCAATTGTTTTCTTTTGCATCGCTTGTTTTTCTTGGGTTTTATTTTCCTCTTTTTTTAACATTTTTTTTTAAATTTATTAAACTGTCTTTATCTCAACCCACAAGTTTTCTCACTTTTACCCTTCCAATTCTTTCCCCCCTCTTAAAAGAGAGTCCATACCCTAGGTTCTGTCACAGAGTCAGTTTATTTCAGCTTCAGCTGCGCCCTCCCAAGAAGGACTCCCTGGGTTATTTTACTCTGCTCTTTCAAGCCTCATGATCTATTACATCAGTTTTGCATGCGCCTGTCCATGCGACAAGCATGTGTCCTTCATCCAATTAAGTCGTTTAATGATTTTGATTCCTGTTCAATGACTGGAGTTTTGGTGTGGGCAACTCTGCTAACTTAGTTTCATAATCTTTTTGTTCCATCTGCACCTGATGCTCATCTGTCTTCTGCTGACTCCAGGTAGAATGGTTTCTTTCCTTTCCTCATAATGGTCACTTTAATTTATATTGCTATTCATACAATCTTCATTAATATTACTTATATGATTTTATAATGTTAGGTCAGTTATAATAATATTGAAGTCATGCAAAACTACTCCCAGCCATTCTTCTTGTAACTAAGAGTTCAACCTAGGTTCGACTTGTGGCCTAAGGCTTCCAATATAGCTACTCATGCTAAGCAAGTTAGCTACTTATGCTAAAACATGTGATTCAAATAATCAGTTTGAAGATTACTTTAGTTTCCAACACCAACCAATGTCTTGGCTATTAAGAGTCAGCCTTTTTCTGCTCAAGGGAAAGGGTACTGGTGGCGCACACTGTGTGCAATCCTGTGCTTCTGTTGTGGTTCCTGTTCTGTTGGAAGGCATCTACCATGACCATCTAGTCACCTGACCACTTCAGGGCTGACCAAAAGTTAAAGCATGTTGTTAAGGCCTTTGTCCAAATGCCTCTTAAACACTGACAGGCTTTGGTCATCGACCATCTCTCTAGGAAGCCTGTTCTAATGTTTGACCACCCTCTTGGTAAAGAAATTTGAAACTGTAGATCGCTTTTCAAGTTTCCTGATTTAATGGGTTTGGTATAGATACTAGAACAGTAAAACTAATAATTTTGCAGGAATATGGGGACTTAAAGAGAATGACAAATTATAATTCTTTGTATTAATCTTGTCAGTTCTTCTTGCCACCTTTTAGGTAAGAACCAGAACAGTTGCTGAGTGTGTGGCTTTCTATTACATGTGGAAAAAGTCAGAACGTTATGATTACTTTGCTCAGCAAACAAGATTTGGAAAGAAGAGATATAACCATCATCCAGGAGTTACGTAAGTAAAATGTTCTTGGAATATGTTTTCTGTTGCAAATTGTAAATGTAGAAGTTTTGTTTGTTTGTTTGTTTCCCGTCATTGCAATGTAATACTACAGTGGCTATGGCAACTGAAATTAAATCCATCATCACCATTTTTAGGCCTTATTTTTCTGTTAAATAACCCATTATGAATGCTATATTCTTTAAGGGACTACATGGATCGTTTGGTAGATGAAGCAGAAGCCCTTGGTGGAGCAGTACATTCTTCAGTCTTAACATCTAATACTCAGACAGAAACCATTCCTGATCACCAGCTAAGCATTCTGAACTCTATCGCTGCCAATGAGTTGACAGGTAAATCAAGAAAAAAAAACCCTAACAACCAAACCCCATACGAACAACAACAAAAAACCCAAAACAAAACAAAAAAAACCCTTTTTGTTGTAACTATATAAACAACTATTTCATTTACATTTTGTGTTCATCTTTTTTTCCAGCATTGACAAACAGTGTAGCTACAGTCTGCCACACTTCAGATGTTAACTGCCTAGATGATGCCTTTCCTCCTATGGACAGCTTACCTCGAGCACCAGTTAATCATGTGCCTGTTGGAACAGAAGAATTGCTAAACTTGCCTAGCAATGGTGACAGTGATTGTTTTAATTTATTTGAGACTGGCTTTTATCATTCAGAGCTAAACCAAATGAACATGTGCAGTGAGGAGACAGAAAGACCTGCAAAGAGATTGAAAATGGGAATTGCTGTCCCAGAATCCTTCATGAATGATGTCTCTGTCAATAACCTCGGTGTGGACTTTGAGAACCACACACACCATATTACCAGTGCCAAAATGGCTGTTTCAGTGGCTGACTTCAGCAGTCTATCTCCAAATGAGACAAATGGTTTTATTAACACCCATGCTCTTCACCAACATACTGCCCTTCACTCAGAATGACTGTGGAAAACTAAACAAACAGTGGGTACTTTATGTAGTAGTAGTAAACTTGATGGGAGCTGTCAGATTTGCTTAGTCTTTCCCTGGAAGTTTGAACTTTGACATCAGTGATGTCTTTATGTATAGAACTATATCTTGATTTAACAAGAATAATTTCTTTTTTCAGTCCATAAATGTGGAAATGTCTGGCAGAGTTTAAGACTAAGAGTACTGTGATGCAGCTTTAAGCTCTGCTTCATTTTTTTTTTTTTTAAAGCCTGTAGACAGAGGCCACCATTTCAAAACCAGCACAGATGTTCTGAACTGATTGGAGTGGCTTTTTAGTCTTAAGTTACTTTTGCAGTAACAGATGCAGTGTAATAACAGTGTTTGCAGGTACTGATCCTGATTCCTGCTTAATGTAGTTTTGTGGTTTGGTTTGGTTTTTTTATTTCTTATAAAGGCAGGGATGGGTTTCTTTAACTTAAACTGCACAAACATACAAGAATGTTTTTTAAATGTAACCTTTTCTCATGTGATACTAAACTAGAGCACTTCAGTTTAAAAAACAGCAAGTTCATCTTGGTGGAAGCTAGCACAAGGGACTTAGCATGAGTAAAGTATGAAGACCTACACTTGGATGCTGTTGCAAAATTATAGGCCATGGCTACCTTACACAGAAGTCATTATGCTGCCAGAGGTATCTGTGTACTTTAAACTTACTGACAAACAGATGCATTTTAGGCTATTGTATTCAGTTTGGTTTTGTCCACAACTTTGAAGATTATTGCACCTGTGTAACTTAACTTTCCTAAGGCAGCTAATGTTGTATAAAGCTACAGTCTGCACAGCTTAGGATTTACCACTAAACAAATAGTCTACATTTTGGAAGACATCTTAAATTGTTTGGAGCACTCCAGTTCAAAGTGTTACAGTTTTGAGGGACTATCTAGTTTATATTGTAGTAGAACCTTGAAGTATGTATTTGAAAGTTTTTCTTTAGCGTGGATTGCCTTTATTTGTTTTGGCAAGTCATTGGCTCAAAAATGGCACTTCACTACCTTGTCAAATAGGGAAGGATGAGTAAAAATGTTTCCCATAAAAGCAACTATTTAACTTGAGTAAATTTTTATTTTGAACACTGAGTGCAATTTAGCCATCCACGAAGTTTGTCTTGCAAACGTTTGTTCTAATTCTTGCAAGAGAACATTACTTCGGTAGGATTACCCCTTTCTCTCCGTACTTTTTCTTTGCACTGTTTGTATTACAAATTTAATTGCCACTAATTTGTTTTCATTATTGAAGTGATTAAGCTTGCGTTGTTGATATTTGCAATAGTTGTTTCAAGGTTATGTTGAGTAATTAGAAAGTAGTGGCTTTAATATTTGACAGGGAAGAGGGTATTTATGCATACTGTGAACTGCATTGACATCCTGAAGTTTTGCATGCAGAATATGGAGTTTTCTTTGCAGCATTTAATGAGGGTTTTTTTGAAACATTTATGCAGTAGCACATTTACCACATTAAAACAGATTAGTTTAGCACAGTGGATAAAAATAAAGATAATTTTGTAATCAGTTCTGAAGTATGTAATTCTAGTAAGTACACAGTAAATAATGGGTAACCTTGGCCCTGTGTTGTACTCTGACATTTTTAGCAAAGTTGTCAGCTTCTTCTTGCTGTCTTTTGTGCTGATCTGTGTACCTTGTTTCTTTTGTTTATGAATCAAC